TTTTTTTTTTTGTGAAGCTGCCTTCTCCTCATCGGGGGACAGCCATATATTTTTCTCTCACCTCACATATCTTTCTTTTTAACTGGCGTTGTGCCATGTCATGGAACATATCTTTCTTTTCAATACCTACCACTACTCCTAAGGCTATACAGGGGACCCCTGCAAGCATAGCTTTCTACCTCTCTTCTGTGAAGGAAGGTTACCTCTCTCGGTCGTTGGAGAGGGGTATTGTTTTCCAATGCATTGATCTGAATTAAAAAAAAATATATATATATATATATCGTCACAAATAGAACTGCCCGGTAAACCGTAGGCAGAGAGAGAGAAGAGGACAACAAACGAGGGGCTGTGACAAACTGTTTCGTATATATATATATATGCATCCGGCATGTCAAGGATAACCCCCATAACCATTGCAATGCGCCTCAATCAATCCTGATCCTGATGGCACTCCTATCGCTCCAACTGATTGCAGGCTTGAATAATGATGCTTTTGCAATCTTTACCCCCTAGATTGTGGAAGGATACATTGCCATGATTATTGTCTTCTGTACATGTTGAGAGTAGTGGAGCGAGGCCCACTGTCCTTCGTCAGGGCCTGACAAGGACAGGCTGCTTCACACCCGCCGATTACTGGAGGTGTAATCACACTAGCATCATCTCAAATGTATCTGACCGCATTTACGGCCGAACCTGGATGTATGCGACCGCAATTACGTCCAAAAATTAAGTAAAAAGGTCCTGGTGTGAGTATGAGCATCGCTCCTCTACTCACCATATGCACAAAAAAGACAAAAAAAGTTATAGCGACGTATCTTCCCATCTTCTAGACAAATATTCATTCTCGTTCTGCACAATTGTGCAGAGTGGTGGAGCGAGGGGCCCTATGCCCTGAGAGAGAGAACGGCGCAAGTTTCGATCCATCGACCGATTGCAACCCTGCACAACACCTACACTTGATCTTACCCAAAAGGCCGAGAAAGGTATATTTTTTCCATTGCTGGACCGGGCGATGATGGCAACTATTAAAAACCTTTTTTTTTTTTTTTTTTTTTTTTTTGGGGAACCGGGCGATGATGGCAAATCTATGCGTAGTAGCAGCTTAACCGGGGTATCGCTATCCCAAAATATGTGGTTGGGCAACTTTAACCCAAGGCTGCACATAAGACCTGCTCCAGTACACAACACTCTACATGCATTTGGACGCTTTCTTGGGCCCTATACATTCGAAATGTTGGACTCGTTCGAACGAACCTGTCCTCGAAAACGTCCAAATGCATGTAGACTCTTGTGTAGTGCAGCCAGGCCCATAGACATCTGGACCATTTCTCGATCGATTTATCCGTGTCATCCTTGAAAGCGGAGGGGCCATCGATGCTAATCTTCATCCTCTGTATCGCTCCAATTTTAACGGATGTCCCCCCCAAGGACCATAGACATGTGCATTGTATACTATAGTACATCATACTACCGTCTTCCCCCGAACATAACGCACCCCAATCTTGACTGTACCGGCCCGGAAATCTAACGTGTATACATTCACAATGAGGGTGCGCTATGTTCGGGGGAAGACGGTAGGATTTTGTTCCCCAAATGCTTATCAACTAAACGGCTACCGTCCTTACCCGAACAGAACGCCCAGTCATTATCGCTGCATCTGGACTAAAAGTTGCCCCAAATACGGCTATCGTGACCGGGCGTTCTATTCGGGTCAAGACGGTACCACCAATATAGATGCAATTCATAAAATGCCTACCGATTAGACACAACCAGCGGCAATTGAAAAAATTGTCATCAAAAAAAAAAAATTGTCATCAAGGGGGTGCTATCATCAACCAAAGAAATCTGTGAGATGCACATAAACCTAGACAAGGTTGTATTTTGCTAAAAGCTCCATCATACACACATATGCTTACGTGCGTGTACGCATCGACTACAACCTGTGCCATATCGATAGATCCTTTTCCTCTCCCCCCCCCC